AAAGTTTTAAATTAATTTAATCTAATTATATCTTAAGTCTTGGTGCTCTATGTAATATAAATAATGTAAGCTTATAATTGTGATATGATTTGATAAGGCGAATCTTAAATAACTTTTATTATAATATTAGTTAACTTTTTCGAAAGCGTTTAATAATTTTTGATACAAATGTTAAGGTTTTAAAACGAAATAATGTGATGCCAAAGTGATAATTATTGTAAATATGTTTTACTAAAATACCCTTGATAATCATAATACGTTAATCAATAAAACACTTAAAGATTTTTCTATCATTTCTCTAAAAAATAATATAATATATAATATTTGTTTTTAACATAAAATAATTGCTTATTACATTTTAACCTTTTCTCATACTAGTAATTGCACAAGTATATTTAAATATGTATAAGGGTTATTATATTTATATTGCATTTATATTACTATGTTGGTGCAATATCCACTTTGCCGATGGCAAACTTGAACTTTATGATATTTTAAATGACCAATACGACAGTTGTGTAGATAAACTTGTAACTCACTATCGTGAAAAACATGAAAATGTGACCAAGTATATTAGAAAGGATGTGTGCATCCTAATGGGAGAGACTGACCTCGCTGATATCGCGGTAAATTTTAATACCACATTAAATTGAACTATCCTATGACATTAATAAAATTAAAGTCTTAATTAATTTATATTATTTGAAATTTTTTTCTATTAAATTTAGTGTTTTGACGAAGTTGTCGAGTTTAATGCGTGCGAGGTCTATTGTTTTAAGTCATATATGGGTAAAAAGTTATATTTATTACAGTTTGATATTGATAATTTTAAAAATTGCTTGCATTACCAGGTATGTGTCTAACTACGGGAAGTATGAAAATTTATCGTATCAAAAATTTTGGCTGTGGTGTGAACGAGGTAAATAAATCATTAAGTAGAGAGAAGTTAATAAATAATTCTATACAACTTTTGAAGGTATGCGATGATACAGGGTGTTGCAACCCAAAACTATTGTCAACAACACCCGCTACTGCCACCTAGTGTGACCAGATCAATAATACAAAATACTTGCATTTTTCAATAAAATGTTCAAAAATTCTTGAAAATTGCTTTCCAATAAGCTACTAAAATATGTTCAAGAGTATTTTATATTACAATTTTTCAATTTATTTTCAATATAATTTTGAAATGTGTTATATAATTTAAAAGTTTATTTTATTAAATTCATCTAATCAAAATATACAAATAACATGTTTAACTTAAAATTTAATCAAATTGATTAAGTAAGGATTAGCAAAAAGTACAAAATTTGACTTAAAATATTTTAAAAAGTATTAGGAGTAAATACTATTTTTATGGTCATAGTTGACACCAGGTATATATAATGAAAATAAACTTGCTCATATTGTTTTAAAATTATTAGTATACCTACAAATAATCCATTTTAAGTTTCAACAAATAATTTCTATTTACATATTTTATACAGTTACGAAAATCTTAACTTACATAAATGTTGCAAGTTTTATTAATGTTTTAAGTGATTATTTGATAAACCAGTTGCCACCTGATGTTTTAATTTGATATTAAAAACTATATAAGTATAGGTTTAAGCGCAATTAATTTTCAGGTCATAACACTTAGTATGATTATCGCACCAATGTACAAACATAGCAAGTATCTTTTTAAAATTCTTTATTGCCCATGTACCATAATGTTTGAAATGTAGTTTTGGGTACCGATGCTGGTGAGGTTGAGGTACATGGTGGACCTTTATTTATTAACTTCATTATCGACCATAAAAATAACAAACAATACTAATAATAAGTGAAAGGTAAAGGTTATCCTCGGCAACTAATAAATTTAACAGCATGATCGTAGATACACACACAACAAATGTGAACCGGTTCATTTTTGGTAATGTAAATATTTTGAACTTTTTGTAATTTTATTGTATAAATTCCATATGGTTGGCAAACTAATTAATTTATTTAATATAATAAAAATACACTTTATTTTTAGCTAACTTTTTACTATAAGCACACAAAATTTCTAGTTTTTGTATGATTTAAACATTGCTTAATCCGTGTGCACACCCTGTACCAGTATAATTTTCATTGTAAAAAATTAATGTTATAAATTATAACATGCATTTGTTAATTATAAATTTTGATTAATATTTGCAAAAATTGATTAATTCATTTTATATTTGAACATTATAAAATGCTGACACTGGTAAATTAAATTATTATTTAAAAATAACATACTATTCTACTTCATTTCAGGAATAATTTTGAATAAACTTGTAATAATTAAAGAAATTATTAAATTATAGTGCCGCAGTAATAAAAACTATAATTTTTTCTTATTAAATTAAAAATTAAATATTTAATTATAATTATGCTTAGAGTTATAATACATTCACATTAAGTAATCATTAGAATATTCTCTAAACAAAGCGAGAGTTGTCTGTATTTGCGCTAAACATTGCACTAAAACATAATAGCATTTACAGTATACAGATAAACAATAACCATAACAGTAACCAGATAACAATAAACACATATTTTACCTCTCTCACCTTAAAAAGTGCAAAACACAGCAATCGTAACGCAATTCACTATTGACTACATTTTTAGTGCACTTTTCTCACACAAGTATATAAACAAACAAAGCTATCGTTCGCATAGAGTTTAATATACTTTCAAAAAGGTTTTTTTAAGTTTTAAAGTAATAACTCAAGAGTTAAAAGTATCATTAACAAAATGCCCATTGACTTGTATTATGGTCGTTTTAGTGGCCCATGTCGTGCCGTATTAATGACTGTACGACAACTTAATATCCCGGTAAATCTTAAACAGTTTGAATCGGGTGGTGGCGATAATTTGAAACCGGAATTTCTTAAGGTATGTATAATTTGTATAACCTTTATTTGTGGTACCTTGTTAATAATTAATGTATGATGGACAGTTAAACCCGGCGCATACCGTGCCCACCATCGACGACAATGGATTCTCATTGTGGGAAAGCCGTGCGATTATGCAGTATCTGTGTAACCAATACGCACCGGACAGTCAACTTTACCCGAGCGACCCGAAAAAGCGAGCCCTGGTTGACAGGTCTCTCAATATGGATATGAGTTTAGCCCCAGAAATAGGCGAAGTTGCGGTAATTCATCTAGATTATAATGAAAATTCACTTGCAACGTGCAAAAAACAACAATGTTTCATTTAATGTAAACTGTACACTTAACCATTATCATTACATTTATAGTATTATATACTGTATATAATGTGATGTGAGTTTTAGGGAACCATAGTGGCACTATATATTTTTATATCTAATTAAAAATTTGACTCAAAAGTCAATTATTCATACAATATTCATAGGTTTTTATTAAAAAAATATATTGAGTCAAATTTTTAATTAGAAATAAAAATATATAGTGTCACTATGGTTCCCTAAAATTCATATATAGTAATATGAATAAAATGATTATTTTGTGTATACATACTTTTCATTGAAAGCTACATACCAGTTTTATGCACATTGTGGATCAATTTACTATTACATAGTCTATAAGTAAAATTTAATTTTTATATTTGAATAGAGGGCTAAACTATTCACTGGAGTGGACCCACCCGAAGATAAAGTGACAACCTTGATGAATACCCTGAAGCTTTTGGACCAAATAATCGGTGGAAGTCGTTATGTGGCCGGGGATGAGTTGACAATCGCCGATCTGTCACTGTTGGCCAACACCGTGTACCTGGATTGGGTGGACCTGGATATAAGCGAGTTCGCCAACTATAAGCGCTGGTACACTACACTCAAGAAGGATTTGCCGTATTTTAACGAAATCAATGCCATCTCGAGGGAGGAAAAGGAGGCTATGGTTGCGAAAGCCAGAGCCGCATATGCCGCCAAAAAATAAGCTTTTATAACTGTGTTAGTTGACCTTTGACCTATTGGTAATTTGTAAGTATCTGAGTTGTATTCTTTTGTGTGTTTACTTGCACACTGTACAGTAATAGGTACCATTATTTGTTAATATACTTGTACTTTAATATTGTTTATTACAATATACAGGTATTATAAAACAATTTAACAGTCCAATATTACATTTATATTTTTATAATAAATAAATAATTTGCTTGATTATTACTAAACAATTGTATTGATAAATAAAACTATTGTGTATTATGTCTAATAAAAATGTGCCTATTATATAATATGAATAGGGTGTTTTGGGAACAACTGTCATATGTATTACTGGTGCTATTATGACAACTACCAAGGTGGTTTCTAAAAGTATATTTGAGTGCCCACCGGATACCGAGGACCGTATAATGGTATGGCTGGGTAAATGTGTACCGGCTTACCCCTATAAAATGACAGTGATAATCTACCCCTGCCAAGCAATCTGGCTAATGTAACAAAAAAGGGGTAGAAACAAAGTATGATTATAAAATGTATGGTGGTATGTTTAAAAGTTAAATTATTGTTGTATATGAAATTCTAGCTAAATGTTACGTATAATTATTATAAATTTTTTAAAATTAAATAACAAGGTGTATCAACAATATGTATTAAAAATAATAAGATGTCTTTGAGTAGCACGCACCTTTTATTATAAAAATTTATGAAAAACTTATTTACAGTACAAAAATATAATATTTTTATGTTATTTAATAATTTATATAAATTAAATTATTAAAGGTTTTAATGGGTGATCCACAAAGTACGTACGCACGGCTAGGGGGGAGGGTGGTCAATTATTGACGAAGATTTTTCGTACGTACTTTATGGATGACGCCATGTTAAATTTCAAATTAAATTTTTAAAAATTCATACATTTTTATTTGTATTGCAAAATTAATAAAGTTTAATTTTAAAATCGATAAAAATTTTATTTTAATCAGTATACTTTTTTATTATAATAAAAACAATTTATACAAAAATTATATGACGACATTTAAAAATCTATAGCCATTTGAAAAGTAGCATGGTGCTCATAAATGGTATAATTAGCCGGTGTTTTATAAACAAACTGACACCGCACAAAAAACATTACACCGAGCATGGCCTTTTTAAAATTTACAAAAATAAATGGCGGATTTGTACCGCTATTAAAATATTGAGCCGGCACACCTTGTTTTGGAAAGTACTCTACCGGTCCCACAAACTCCTTGTCCGGACTGTTATCTCCCACACACGTAGTCTCCACTACAGCACCGGTAGTATTTAAATCCGACAACCAATCATTAAGTGGTGCTAGGTCAATGACCACGCATGGTGTACCTAGCTTGTATCCATAGTTATTATATTTTGAGCATGTTGACTTATCAGTCTCGCTTAATAATAAGCAGTAGTAATTATCGTGCGAGGTGCTAGTACACTGTGACCCAGGTAAACTAGTTTGATAAGGTTGTAGAAACTTGTCCATAGACTTAACGAGTGATTCCGTGTTACCCTTATTTCCGGACTTAATTTCTATGTAATTATGAGGGGCTGTATGGGGCCAGACATGAAATACCGGTGCCTTATTGTTGATGAATATACTGTCAATGCCAAGCATAGTGACCACGATGATTAGCATGATTATGATAAATATGACCGAGTGCACCGAGTAGCGGTAGTATTTGTTTTTAAACTTGGTGATTTTCATTGGAAATGGACGTAGTTTACGGAATTCCGAGTGATCAATAGGGGTGCCGTTGCCAATGGGGATTGTAGCATGCTCACTATTGTTTGTTTTTGTATCAGGATGCTCTGTGTCCGGTTGTGTGGTTTCATCATGGTCATTGGTATCTTCATGCGATTTTAGGTTATCAAGCTCCATTGAGTCGTTGTTATTGCTTTCAGGTCTCATAGTTTCAGCAGGGTTAGTTGACTCCATATAAATATTTTTGTGTGAAGTTTAACTATTTAATATAAATCGAATAGATTAAAAATGAGATAGCTAAAAAATTATGTTACATCAGGCTCGTGTGGTCCAGAAATATAAATCAAAATATTTTGATAATTATAATCATTTTACAATGTTTATGTTTACAGTTTAAACAAATGCATTTTTAAATTAATTATTAAACCGTATGCTATATTTGTTAAAAATTTAAACATGCAAATATTATTATTTTTATGGTATGCTATATTAAATTATTAGATCAGATATTATATAATCTGTATATTAATGTAAATAAGTTTTTAAAGTAATAATTATAATTAACTAAATTAGACTCAAAAAAATAATTCATTAGTTATATTAAAAATAGTTTATTATTACTTATTATAAACTAACTAAATTATTTTAAACTTAATTTAAGTAACAATTTTTATTTATACTATTTTAAATAATAAACTAATAATTATAATAATTTTATTAAAATAATTACATTATGTATTAAATTAAATATTAAATTAAATGATAACAATTAAAATTTAATTATTACTTACATGAGTATAAAATACTGAAATTGAATAAATATTCACTCACTATTAAGTTACAACATGGCAATCATGTCAGCCCTAAAAACCTACCAGTCCTTTAACATCACATTATTCAGCAATAATATTAATATTCAGTGTATATCTGATTAGCATTTAAAACACTATTTCGCTATAACTTTGAAAAATACTAGTTTTCACTGAAAATATTTGTAATAGTTTTGAGAAAATATTAAAAAACTTTTTGTCACTGAANGCATTTAAAACACTATTTCGCTATAACTTTGAAAAATACTAGTTTTCACTGAAAATATTTGTAATAGTTTTGAGAAAATATTAAAAAACTTTTTGTCACTGAAAAAAGGACTGAATATTAATGTTATATTTAGTTTTGCCACCATAAAACTAAATGCGAATAAAATATATTTTTGTATTTGTACTTGTATATCGTAATTATCATTTTTATTATTATAGGTTTTCAAAGTACTTTTTTCATGAATACAGTAATGATTTCGAAATGAGTTTGACGTCTATTATAACAGGCCTTCAAATGTAAAGGGATTTCATTAAAAGTATTTTTTCATTTGTTTTATTATTTGTTGCGAATTGAAGGGCAAAATATTTTCCCCTTTTATATGTACTCTCTCTCTCTCTCTCTCTCTCTCTCTCTCTCGACTGTTAGTATTTATCATTGGATTAGTATTTTTACAATTAACTTCCCTGATCAACATTATTTTAAATGATTTAATAAATTATAGCTACCTAAATTTTATTATTATTTTATGGACTTTTAATATAAAAATAATTCATTTAATTATAGGTATATTTTATGTCTTTCATTTTTAATAGATGATACTAATATATAAATTAGTCTAAAAATGTAATTAATGTTAATGATAATAATACTTATTTTTTTGCAAGGTTGGTTTTAAAAAACTATTGAATTTTAAACATATGGTGCACTTTATGCAGAAGAGAGACATTTATTTTGCACAGCAAACTGTATTCATAACCTAATCAATGCTTTCAATACTAACACTCACAATTGAAGGTATATACGTCGAAATGCCAATTAAATAAGTGGTTATGTCTAAAAGTATCCTGATAATATGTATAAAATTATAGAAATAGTCACCAATACTGGTGTTAAGGTTGTGGACAGTTATGGTCAAGGTAAATATAGTGTATATAACTGTAAAGTAGTATATTATACTCTATGGGTGGTAGATTAATAATACTTTACAGTACACAATATTTAATAATGTGAACAACAATTCGATTTATAAAAATTAATTAATTATGAATATAATCTGGATCATTTCAAATAATATTTTTAATGAATACTTTTAATTAAAAAGTAAATAAAACTAAAATAAAATATAAAAATAAATGAACTAAAACACAAAAAATATATTTGCCCTCACCGGGATTCGAACTGACGACCATATAGTATGTACTGCTTTACAGTTATATACATTAAATTATTACAAATTATTGTTTTAGTGTAATAATTATAAATACTTTTACTACATTAAACTTATTCTGATATACCTTGAATAATATATGATAATTTAGTATCAATGTAGTTTTTCTTAAATGACCATGTCACTTTTTAAATTAGTATTTATTAAATTAATTTAATGAAAGTAGGCAATTGGCAACTATTTTTGCCAAGTTGCATATATTTGGAAACTTTGTCCGGAATTATATACTAATTATTAATTGTGTCAAGGTACTTATGTACTTAAATTTTTATCACCAATCTTGGCGTCTATGAGCCGGGTCATTCACATGGCCCTTTTGTTCCTTTGTTAGCGCAGGGAATGGCAGCCAAAAGTTGGTGTTGTGTTTTGCCGGACCGACACGTGTTGGACATCTGCTGTCTCGCCGTAAACACCGATAAAGACATGACTTGTTTAGTGATCTTCTTATTGCACCTCTGGTTAGGATTGTCCACCGTTTTCATCGTATCGAGTGAGGCGCTGAAAATGAACAAGGTTAATGCTTTTATTTATAGTAAGTCATAATGTAACGTGATAAATATCTTCGAAAATTATAAATTAGCAGCTAGTAAATTTAGTCACTAGCTAGTACAAAATTTGTATTAAAATAAAATAATGTTTTAAGAGCACTACCGTTGGTTCCCAATTTTTAATTAGTAAATATTTTATATTATAATTAATATTTTTAATAATAAAATTACAGTTTGTGACAAAGTTTATAATCAATACCGTATTTTTAATTATTAAAGTACAGGGTTGACAAAATATGGCAGTGCTACTTTGATTTTAATTTTTTTATTACCGTTTTGTTTATTTTCTATATTTATTTACTAAAATGTAACTCAATAGTTAAGGTTTTCATTGGTGTATGATTTGTCCATGTTGGTATTAAATAGCTCTCTCTCCCATACAAAACCACAATATCGGGAGAGAGAGCTATTTATACATAATAACAATTATAATTAGTAAATTATTAATTAATTGA